ATCAGAGAAGACAATTTTCAGAAGTGAAAATCCCTTAACCTGGTTTGGCCACTTTTAAGCTGTGTGACCTCAGGCAAGAGCATAAACATTTCTGAATCTCAGTCCTCTGATTTGTAAACCGGAAAGTAGCACCCACTCCATCTTTGTCTTCAGGATGCAGGGAGGAGTATGAAGGATTTCCAGGTGACTCCAAATTCATATGGTGGTGTTTGTGTTCACAACTGTAACTCAGCGAGTCCACAGGTGGATATTCTGAGGGGTCAGGAATGCCTCTGGTTTCTACAACAGACAAGACAAATCTTGCTCACACAAGGAGTCTCTCTCATTTTTATCAGACATGTTTCCCTCAATATTGTAGGTGATGAACAATAGAATGGCTCCATTTCACAAATGGTAAAGTCACATGCACAAAGGCAACATGGGTATTCATGGAAACAGAGGTAGGCATGCTCAAACATGCAGAATCAAGAGACAGTCATAAGCATATGAGGAACATTAAACCAGGTGGTATAAGGGACCTCTTTTATCTTCTTGGCTACAACCATAAATATTTGATAAATGAACAAATTAGAGAATGACCAGATAGATGGGGGGGATAGATGGATGGAAGGATGGTTGGTAAATAGATGGATAGGTGGGTAAATAGATAAGTGTTAGGTGATGGATAGATGGATGGTGGGTATATGGATGAGTCATTGGATGGGTGGATGGAGAGATGGATGGTGGATGGGTAAGGGTGAGTGGTGGGTAAGTGGGCAGAGGAGTACACAAATGGATTGATGAGTAGATGGAAGAATAGAGAATAGATAGATGGATATGGATGAACTGATGGATGGATGATGAGTCAGTGGACCAGTGGATGAATGAATGAGTGGTGGGTCAGTGGGTATGTGGGTGGGCATATGGATGAATGGGTGGATGAGTGGATGAGTAATGAAGGGTGGATGGATTGCATAAGCATAATCCAGCATTCCTAGAGACAAAATCATACAAACATGTGCACAATTATACTCTGTCATTCTCAGATGACATGCTGGTTGCCCAGCCATCTCTCCACCATTCTTCCAAAGGCCTTCAGGTATCTCTTTCTTGCTCCCTAGGCACCGAGGTCGGTCTCCTGAGGAAGGGCGGAAATCCCGCCGTACACACTCCCGACGCTGCTCCAAGAACCACTGCAAGGTCAGCCCAGAGGCCCGGTCCAGCCACCTGCCCAGCCAGCCCCTCCAGAGGCTCGGCTTCCTGCCAGCCAGAGGTGTAGTAAGTATTCTGCACATTCCCTCTGCCAGCCTTGCCATGACTCTTGGGGGAGGTGGAGTTTCAAGCTCAGGGCAGTGTATGCTATCTTTTAATTCAATTTTGGGTAAATTTCCCACTTGCTTCAGATTTCATTATTGATTAACTAAATGGTCATTCACCAGCCTTGACAGCACTCTGGGGAGACAGAGGAAGAGAAACTAAAATATGTAAGCTTGTATTTCCAGGGGTGGGGATGGGACTGTTGAAACACAGATACTGGCCTCCAGATGACATGTGTGAGAGGTTTCTTAGGGATGGGCAGAAGAAAGGGGCCATTGACACAGGAAAAATCTTTGGCTTTTATATTAAGTCTGCATCTCTTATGCCAGCTGGCTGCCAACACTGGTTGACAGTTGGGATCTGATTCCTCCTATTAATTTGAGCTTGACCTGTGTCTTCTTATGTATTTATACACAAAGTCTCAGGTGTCAAGGACTGAGTTACTGTCACTCATCCTTCCCACAAATGGAGCAGAAACATCAAAATTTGGAGAGGTTAGGATCTGGGGCAAAGTCACAGAGTGAGATGACGGTGAATCCAACTTAGTAACCCAGCAATGAATAAAAGCAGAAAAACCCTCCCTTGGGTCAACAAGAAGTAATTGGTGTGTGACCTTGAACACTTTGGTGTGGGATCTGAATTTAAGACCTAACTTAACATCTTCCTAGCTAGGCAGATTATATCACCTCAGTGTTCTCACTGGGTAAACTTGAAGCACTGATTCAACCATTTGAGCTGGTTGGGATTATTCTATAAGAGGAAGTATGTGAAGACCTTTTTTTGACTCTGAGGAGACACAGAGACAAACAGGATGAGAGTCAGCCTTGACATGTTACAAGATTGTAGACAGCAGCTCTGAAGGGAGCCTGTCTTCCACAAACAGGAGAACTTGAACATGCAAGGAGATGTTCCCCTTAGTAAGGATGAGGTGGAAATAAGGAGGAGTTCATGGGTCCTGTGGGAATGTCAGGGGAGGTGACAATAAGCAGCATCATGGCCTTGTTGAGATGTTTGCCATTTCCAATATGTTCTAGAAAACTCTTCTACACATCAAGGTACCTTGTGTCACCAGGGTCTAATTTTATTCAATCTCGTGCATGTCTGACTTGTGCTCTTCCTAAGTACTTCCTTCTCAAGAATGCAGGTGTCAAGCCCCACCTGCACTCTCTCATTCCCTAAATTCCCCAAACCTTCTGTGCTGCAAAGACTACAGAGGCCAGGGTTCAAGTCTTGACTACTCAACTCATCCACCCACCTCCATAAGCCTCAACTTCCCCCGCTGGGAAATGGATGTGATGAGTTCATTTGTGGATAAAGTATAAGTAAATCTGAAAAATAACAGTAAGATCAGAAGAGCGTTCCTAAGTTAGCTATGGCTGCCCAGTCTCCCATGTACTAGTGCCTGTAGTAGACTACCTAGAAGCCCCAACTGACCTTAGCTACAATATACCAATGGCAACACCTGACTTATACTCTCTCACCTGCTTATAATGGGTTTCCTAAGGAGCTCACATGTATAAGATGTTGCTGATAACTACATCTGCCTTCCCTCACTTACCAGTAATGTTACCCGACTGGCTCTTGACAGTTTCATTTCAGAACACAGATTCTTGGTGGCAGTGATGTGTAATGTCCCATGTCCCCCCAGGAGCCTTCTTGCCCAGAGCCTCCATATCCCCTAGGAGCCCAATACCTCTTAGAAGAATGATAAGCCACTCCTTAACTTAATATGCAAGGAAGAGGCCTTAAGAGCTCACCTCCCTCCCACTACTTTGATTATTAAGAACAAAAGTAGAGATGCATAAGAGAGTAATGATGGCCTTGGCAAGGTAGGGTTGTTTAAAAAACAGAGGATTATTATTGTGTAGCCAAATCCTTTATAAGCTCAAAGTTCTTCAGCTGTAAAAAAAAAGATAGATAATACATATATGCATGCATGTATAGATGCATGCATACAGTCACACATATATACATGCATACATATAATACATGCATGCATACATACATAAGTCTCTTCCTCAAAAAATAATCATTAAGCCCAATGCTTGGTCTAGGGACAAAACTCTAATAACATTCTAGATCCCTTCTATGGAACTTTGGGCTCATCACATCACCTCTTTGTGTCTCTGTTTTCTCAAATTTTGAAAAACAAGGCAACTAGTGAGACCCAGTTCATAAGACTGTCATGAAGTCACCATGACTAGCTGTGAGTAAACATTTTAGAATGCAATTGGTGAGTGGCAAATGCTATATGATGCTTGCTGCTTGTGCTGGCAGTATTATAGGCACACCAACAGAGGAGGTAGAGGCCATAGCAGAGGTCACAGTAATAACTAAAGTGTAGTTCCCAGCTTGGCTAAGCAAATTGGTAAACAGAGACGAGAGTCAGCATCCTGCTCTCTGGGTAATTTTATTTCCATCATAAATAGTGGGTGCATTCAATATGGCTACACTCACTCTGGTTGAGGTTGTCTGGCTACTGGATTTATCAAAATACACTCTAAAATCTGATCCCAGGCTCCCTCTATTCTTGGCCTCTTTTTCATCTTCTCCATTTCTAAGGTAGAAACAAGAAAAGATTCCATGTGCACCACAGATTTCTGAAGAGTTCCAGACACAAGACTTTTTTCTCCATTTGCTAGAACAGCAGAGACATTTGCACTGAGTCACATGTCAATCATTCTTTCAAGTCTATCCACATCTACTTAGCATCTATTAAATGCTGGAATTTCACTCTGGAGATCTGATGAACAGAAAAGAAAGTCTGTGGCTGCTAAAGGGGAAGACAAATGAGGCAACAACAGGGAAAGGTCAAGTGTGACAATGGATGCTAATATGAGGCAGAAGTTTGGCTGACAGGAAAGGACCTTAGGATTAAGGCAGGTAGAGAATGTAATGAAGACCCAGAAAACTAAATATGAGCAGTATTTATCCAATGGAAAGGAAAACTGAAGGTTGGAGGTGGGGTTTGAGATGGAATTCTAGGATAAGACACAAATGTTGCAGATGAATTGAAGACTTAAGCACCAGAGGCCTCCTGTGCCCCAGGTCCCAATGGTACATACCCAGAGCCCTTTTGAAAACAGTCAAGTGCAGGTACATGACACCACAAAAGGTGCTTTGCATATATGACTATGCAAATGAAGGCCTTGCCTCTGAACTAGATCCTGGTTGGTTAAAGGTGACCAGAGGGTCTCTTGCTTGATCACTGAGAGTCTGCAGGAACTAGCAGTCAGTGTGATTAGAGCACCAGTCCTTCCATGCTTATTAAAATGATTACACACCAGTTGGTAATTAGGTTGTTTCACTTCCTTATCCTAGCCCCAGTCTACCAATTATCCCATCCATCCCCTGGCACCTTCAGGACCATTAAAGCATAATAGCTAATCACTTTTAGTGCCAAGATGCCTTCTAATAGGGTATACTTGACACTCAAGCAGTTGGTGACTGTCTAGAGTACCCCTCACAATAGTGGTGGGAGCAAGCACAATGTATCGTGGAGGCATCAGACACTTCCATCTTGATGTCTGAGCAGGCTTTATGGTAAGAGGATATTTGAGCTGGGCACTGAAGTATGAGTAGGAGTTTATCAATTTGAAATGATTCATGTATAGAAAAAATGGGATATCATTCTGTGGCTGGCATCACCACATACTTTGCATAGTTATTTTCCTCTTGTTTTTTTAGAGGTATGTGTCCTTATCATTCCCATTTTGCAGATGGAGAAAGTAAGGCTCTGGGAGGCAAGATGACCTAGGAAAGTAACACAATTTGGAGGGAAGAGAGCTGGCAGGGACCAAAGATTATGCCTTAGAAACTTACTCTGATGTCAGCAGAGGGTGAGAAACGGGGCAGGGATGCTGTTGTCCCCAAGTGCTTGGTGGAAGCTTTCTTTTTCTGTTCTGTGAACATTCTCCATTGAGCCTCTCATTACTAATGGCAGAGGGGATCTAGAAAAAGGAGTGAATCAGAACCATGGAGAAGGGCAGGCCACCTCTTCCTGCCTCCTTGTACTGTCATCAGGGCCAAGGGCAGTCAGTCATATATGGCTTATGTGTCAAGTGTTGCACAGATGCCAACAGACAAAAGGAGAATGTGGAGTCTGTCAAAGATGGAAGGCGAAAAAGTGTCTGTGATTAAGACGTGGGCTTGGGAGAAGATCTCATCTCCCTGTGACATCGTGGATAACATTGAAAACTATGTTCTCTAAGTACCTACTATGTACCAGATCACTGTCTCATGTTTTTAATTATATAAGTTCAAGAGACACATCATGTCTACTATAGAATGAGTACCCTGTGGCCTAGAAAGATCAGACAAAAGGCAGCTACTTGTAGAAGCTCAAATTTTAAGCCAGAGAGCCTGATCGGGAGACCCATGTACTTAACTACATGTAAATATCATCATCTGTACCTCAGGGTAATTATCTTATCCTATTTACATGGTCAATATGATGGTGGCATGAGATAAGGCATCTATCCACTTACTTAAATATGCACTAAGAACATGAGAGGCAACTCAGTCAGCTACCCCAAACCTAGGCTTAGATCCCCAACATCCGCATAAAAGCCAAGCACAGTGGTGTGCACTGTGACCCCTGAGATTTGCTTGCCAGTCTACCTGAGCAGGTGACTTCCAGGTTCATTGAGAGACCCTATGTAAATAAATAAATAAAAGGTGGAGATTGACCATTGTGGAAGATACCTGACATCTGATACTGACCTCTGATCTCCACACACATGCCCACACACATGAGCATGAACAGGTACACAAACATACACACAACATACTTTAACATACACACAGCAATCATAATAGTAATAGTAGCAATATTAATAAGAATAACTTTGCACTCCTACCATGAACCAGGCATCTGCTTGTGAAACTCATCTCAAGGCTTGGAATCTAGAGTCATATGTACAGTAGTTGCCAATATGATTTTTTTCCTCAGAAGCTTTTTA